AACATAATTAAGAATTTTGATCTAAGACCAGGAGGTTCTGTAAGGTTGGGGTCCAATGTTTCTGGATATTAAAAACAGTATAAAGCTTTCTATGAAAATGTTTCCTACTTATAAGGCAATGTGATTTTGGTATAAAAAATAATGTGGTTTTAGTGTCAGAGAGACCTCAGTGGAACCCCTCACACTCTACTTTAAATTTGTGTGACCTTATCTGGACATTGGTTTCTGGGCCCACCAAGTAAGGATAGCAGCTCTTTTGTTAGAGAATTTTTAGAAGTCTAGAAAAAATGTGAACTATAAAGCTTAGTGATTGGTCTGCTGTCTCATTCATTTACTTATTCATTAGCCAAACACTGGGTGCCAGGTCTGGGGCACAGCAGTAAATAAATCAGGCATGGTGGTCTAGCAAATAAGCCAGATTAAGGAGATTGTATTATGTGCCATAACAGCAACTAAGAAATAAATTGAATGAGCCAGCATTAAGCAGCAGGCACAGCCATTAATTAGCAAAGGTTTCTTTAGGAAATAGCATTGAATCTTAGACCCAATGGTTGAGAGCAAACCCTTCAAAGGAAGAGCCATGAGCTGTAATGGAAGGACATGTGAGTAGGGACAGTGAAGAGGCTGTAGCCTCTAGAGACAATGACAGATTGGGTCAGGGAAATAGCAGTGAAAATGCATTCGAATCTTAGATGAAGTATGCCATGCTCAAATGTCCTTGAAGAGAAAGTTGCATTATTTAACATTTCCCACTAGGTACAAATAGAAATGAAGAACACAAAAGTTCATCCTTACACAGAACACAGGTTCTGAAGATCTTGGACCCTCTTGGCCTTCATTTGTATGCACTGTTTGCCTCCTGACCAGGCCATGAAATCAGATATCTTTCTGTGACAAATGGGTCTGCTTTGGATTTAATTATCATTTTCATTTCCTATCTCTTGTCCACAGTCATGGAGATATAAATTCTCAGAGTAATATTTTCAAAAAAAAATTAAGTGATTTTTTTTCTTCCCTTATGGGGGTGTCACCTGTTTGACTCAGGCAGAAGAATTAAGTCAAGGAAATTAATTGTTGTATTGCAGTCTTTCTACCATGGATAAGGACAATCCTTCAATGTTTTGTAAGGACAGCCCTGAAAACTAAAGGTGAGACAGAGAAAAATCACCTCAGCTCACACCCTCTCCTCTCTGCCCTTTCTCATGGCAGTTCAGATTAGAGAAGCGACACAGGAGAGAGAGCCAAACCCTCCACTTGCTACGGAGATGAGTGGATCAGAAAGAATTGCCTCTGAATTGTTTCTCTGAATATTTTAATTCAGAGGTAGAATTGTGTGGCTTACAGTAAACCAAGAGGCGCAGGTACAGACAGTTTCTACTGCAGGCCATGGTTTTCCTTGACTCTTCTGTTTTAGGTTTCACAGACTTTGCTAGTTTGTCAGTTGCCTGTTTCTTGCCTTGGAGGGTTGATTCCTAACTCCCTGCTAGACATTTTTTGTCTTAGACTGATATTGAAATCTGTGGGAACCAGTTACTGGTGATGACAGATGTTATGAAAAGGCAAGTACTGCTTGCATTTTGTCCTTCTAATTGCCTTATAATGGATTCAGAAGCAGCACTGGAGGGTAAGCACTGATGTGGACTGAGATAGGTCACCACAGCCCTTCCAATCTGCTCTGATCCTTTGGTATCCTTCGGTGGTTGTTTCTCTGAGGGTATTTGTCCCCACTGCGTTATCAGAGGGGACACGGAGAAAGGCAGAGCAGGAGGAGTAGAGGAGTGAAGACACATCCCTAAATAAAAACCATGTCCCTCTTAAAAGAGCTGATGGGGAGTTTGTTTAAACATCTTCCCTTTGGTGAGACTGCCATCTGCTCCAACACACTTTAAGATGTTCTTTAAGGCACGGTAAGGAGAGAAAACATGCCCCAGAATCGGGCATACTTGGTGTCCTGCAGAGTGCCAGGTCATAGTTGCTCAATGTGAGTTTGGTGAATTAAAAACCATGGCAAGTACAAATTTCTTTCTGTACTTTCAGATCATAAAGGGGATGGAAATAAAATCATAACTTTTTCACAGGACTAAAATGATGCTTGCATATTTTAAAAGCTGCTCAATATGAATCATCACTGAACAAATTCTATTTTTCTTTTGTTAAGATATTTTTAAAAGAATATATTTTTGAATTCTAGGCAGTTAGGTTTAAAACAATTGCAAATGATCTCCTTTAACCTAAGACTTTCTACATCTGACTAAATAGCTATCAGAGAAACAATTATTGTTGACAAAATACTTGACCAATTTTTTTCATAGGGAGCTGCCAGATATATCAAAAGACAATATTTTTTAAATATATAAAAGTTTAGTAAACATTTAAGAAAAGAAACTATATCCCAGAATGAGACAGTGTCTGTAGATAGGTCTTTTAAGGCTAATATGGGGTTACAAGAAGAAGAGGAGGAGGAGAGGAGGAAGAGGAGGGGGAGAGGTAGGGAGGAGAAGGAAAGGGAAGAGGAGGAGAGAATAAGAGGAGGAGAGGAGAGAAGGAAGGAAGAAGGAGGGGAGGAGTAGAAGCTGCAGACACCACACAGAGAAAGACTGTAAAGACACAGGGAAAGATGGTTCTCTACAAACCAAGGAGAAAGGCCTAAAACAGAGCCTTCTCCCCTTAGTCCTGCAAAGGCACCAGCCCTGTTGATGCATAGACCTTGAACTTCTGTGTCCAGAACCATTCCACAATAAAGTCTTGTGTTTAAACCATAAAAAAAGGAAAGCAACTAATTAACTTACTAAAGAAATGGTAGTGGAGCAATCTTACTAAGATTTTATCCAGGTCCAGTAATGCAGGCCTAAAATACTAGCTATTTGGGAGGCTGATGTGCAACGTGACAATTTCAGGATAGCCTTGAAGCCATAGCAAGTATAAAGCCATCAACTCAATGAGACTCTGTCTCAAAAAGTAAAAATAGGACTCTGGATTTAATCAGTGGTAGATCTCTTACTGAACATGTGTGAAGCCCTGTGGTAAATATCTGTTCCTCAGAAGATAGAGACACATCTTAGTTAGGGGTTCTATTGCTGTGAAGAGACACCATGGCCATGACAACTTTTACAAATGAAAACATTTAATTGGGGTGACCCATGTAAGGTTTCAGAGGTCCAGTCCATTGTCATCATGGTGCAACACAGCAGCATGCAGGCCAACATGGTGCTGGACAAGGAGCTGAGAGCTCTGCATCTTGATCCGCAGACAGCACTGTGTCCCACACAGAGCATAGCTTGAGCAAAGGAGACCTCAAAGCCTGCCTCTGCTGTGACACATTTCCTCTAACAAGGCCACACGTACTCCATTAAAGCCACACCTCTTAATAGTACCACTCTCTTTGAGGCCATTCTCTTTCAGACCACCACAGAGACATATACAACAGAAAGACTGATTTTTATCTTGCATTCAGCTTGAATAACAAACTGGTCCATTAAGAAAGGCATGTGTTCTCTGTCCACAGAGGCCATTCTGGAGAATTTTAGGAAGAACTTTCTGGAAGTGCTTAGTGTTTCTCAGAGAGAGGGGATGGAGAGTTAGGATGAGTATTCTGAAACTTGATAACTGAGAACACATCTAAGGTCTGACCTGGGTCTTTGTGTAACTATCTGGAATCAAATGAGGACCTCTGAAAATACTTAAATAAATGAATGAATGCTTCATTCACAACTGAAGCCACAGGAATCCATTTTCTTTACCCTTTTTGTAGTTTAGCTTTGCGTGAAGTAGTTATCATTAGTCAATATCTTGGAAAGATGTTGTCCTCCATCTCTCTCTCTCTCTCTCTCTTCTCCTTTCTCTCTCTCCCTCCCTCTCTCTCTCTCTCTCTCTCTCTCTCTCTCCCATCTTCAATAGAGCCATCGTTAATCCCCCTTTTGTAGTGAGGCAGAATGAACTTCTCTTTTACCTGTACTTTGAACAGACACTCCTTTATAAGAGCAGCATCAGTTCACTTCCCACTGCAAACAGTAAACTATGGCCCACTGGCCAATTATGATTCATTTGTTCACTGTGTGGTTTTTACATACTATTTTTTAATTTTCTGTTTTTAAAAAATATTTTATGTTTCTCTGTGTATGTCTATAGGTGTGTATATATACATTGTGCTTTGGGAGGCCAGAAGAGGTTATCTCCTCCCCTGGACTAGAGTTCTAGACAGTTGTTGTTTATTTATGTGAATCCTGGGAATTGAACTCTGGTTCTCTGCAAGAACAGCAAGTGTTCTTAACCACTGAGCCATGTCCCCATGCTCATATTTTTAAATGTTTATAAAAAGACCAAAAGAAGAAGATTTAACAACATGTTCAAATGTTATATGATTCAATACTGGGGCTGGAGAGATGCCTCAGAGGTTAAAAGCACTGATTGCTCTTTCAGAGGTCCTGAGTTCAATCCCCAGCAACCACATGGTGGCTCATAACCATACGTACTGTGATCTGGTTCCCTGAGATCTGGCCTGCAGGCAAAACACTGTATATATAGTAAATAAACAAATCTCTAAAAAATAAATAAAAAGAAGGTAAAAACAATGTATATATCTTTTAAAAAAGATTTGATATGGTATCATCTGCAGTTACTTTCACATTTTCAATAATGGTGATTGAGTTATATAACATATATTATGTAGTTCACGAAGTGTAAGATATATATTATCTAGCTCTTCACAGAAAACATTGCTAACATCTGCTGCATGGACATGGATCATTGTGCTGTGGTATGTAGCTGACATTTATTGTTATCATATGCTGAGCGTTATGTTAAGAAATTCATATACATTATGATCTTTAACCCTCAACAATTCTGCCTATCTTATCTGCTCAACTGAGGCACAGAAGTTTGGAGAGCTTGCAAAGTTACAGGAGTCATAGATATGTGATACAAATCTAGGTGTTTCTCCAGCTGGTGTGCAGTCAGCAGGCAGCATGGTCACAGCAGGCCATGGGAATAGTGTCTGCAAAATTCACAAAGTAAGTAGTCAGTTTCTTCTTTATCTCCAGTTGTATTCCCTTGATGAATATTACTCAGGCAGAGGCTCATGCTAGTTTTTCTGGGTTAAGTGGAGACCATGGCTGGTAGAAGGACTCATGTAAGTCATGGCACACCATGTGCACCTTCCATAAACCAGGTCCTAGGTAGGACTACAGCAGAGAAGTGGCAGAGTTTACAATCAAGAAATGAATGTTGAATATTTTTATATGGAGAGGAGGGAGGGGTGAGGTATGGAGGGAGGGGTGCAGAAGGAAGGGAGAATGGGGGAGGGAATGAGATAATATCCTGGACCTGAGGATCCAGAATCTATTGGAACATCAGAGTAATAGATTTTGATGTTTCAGATGGTCTGCTAGCTTCATGTCAAATGTTACTCAGTTTTCTGTTACTGGAGTCCACACTTACTTGCTTATTTGTGTAGTTGGTTTTTTAGAAGTTCACTGTGATGCTCTAATATCCTGATAGCTTGGGCACCTGGATACTACATCTCTTCAACAGAATAGCAGTGCTTCATCCTTGCATGGTCTTTGCAGGTTTGCCAAGAGCTATATTTCCATAAGCTTTCTTTTTGAAACATTACTTCTCTCTGAGCTTTTTGTGCACATATATACACAGTATGCTTATATATTCCCCTGTATTTTGTTTTCACAGCTTCATTGAAGTATAATTGTTCTGTAAGAGCGCACATATTTAATATACAGAATCTCATAGATTCTAACAAATGCTCATACTCATTGAACCATCACCATTAACAAGACAGTAAATATCTGTCACTTCTAAGGGTTCCTCCTTACCCCGAACCCCCATTTTTATGGTAAGAGCACAACTTGAAATTCACCCTCTTAACAAAATGCAATGTTTTTGAAGCAGGTGGTTTTACTATGCCATCTACATGCTAGCATCAAACATGTAGATCCTGTCTCAGCCTCCTGGAAGCTAGGGTTGCAGGCATGTGGCCTCAGATTTAGCTCTTAAGTGAGTTTCTGGACATCCACAGAGATGTTAACTCCAGACAGCCTGCTCTATTATAGACCTTGGGAACTTATCTGCCATTTCTGAGACTCTAGACTAACTTTTCAGTGGGTGTTGATTAATCTTTTAAGTTTTTGTGTCTTGTAGGGAAGACTTTGTGATGAATCCAGATGGGAAGATGGCTACTGTTAAAACAGTACCAGTTTTCCACACTACTTTCTCTTCTTATACAGAGGGCTTCTTACATAAGAGGGTTGTGGGTCATTTCCCTGTCCTCCAATACTCCTTGGACATTTACTGTGACACTCAACCATGTGGAGATTTCTTTAATGGCCAAATGTATCAGGAGAGCCAGTAGACAGTGAGAGCTAAGAGCAAGAAAGATGGGACATTCACTCATTCATTTGTAGGACCTTAAAATAAGCTATTTCTGTTGTTACATGGAGATCTGGCCTTGGATAGGCAGGATGGGGCCAGGTGCTGAGTGTGGGGGAAGTTGCCCATCAGCCATGGCATCATTAAAGATGTCTCACAGAGTTCTAGTTGCTGGTATATTTTTCCAGGTAAAACACTGCTCAGAAATAGCCTTACCTGAAATGTCTCTCATCTTCAGCCTACAGAAATCTGCCTAGAAATTAAGTCTTTGTTCTTGGAAGACTGTGAGCCCAAGCTGGCACATCTAATGCCTCTCTCAACACTCCCTGTCTGGTCACAGGTGACAACCATCATCCATCCTCTGATTTTATCTTGCTCCATGGTTACCTTAAAGGCAACACTCTTGTCTGTGGGGTCTACAAACTCACCATGCTGCCTAGAGTCAAGTCTTGCTGTTTCAGCATCTTAGGTGGAGAGCCCACAGTACCAGCATCCCTTGGGAACTTATTAGAATTTCTAGCCCACACATACCTACCAAATCACAATCTTTACTGTATGAGGATTTCTAGGGGCATCCAGGCACATTAAAATTTGAGAATGGCTGTTGCAATGCAAAGCTTTCTTAAGGCAAGACTTAATCCTCAGGGACTGTAGGAACCATGTTAGAATCAAGGCATGGACACAGTAGAAGATGGGTGACACTTTCTAGGAGCCCATCTGAGAGGTAAGCCCATGATAGATGTGCCACAGTCCATGTGGAGGAAACCCTGGCAGCCCTGGGTTTGAATGTGAGATCTGACACTGTATAACAGCTTTGGGGCACTCCTTCCAGAGCTCAGTGAACCTTTTTATAGACATTTTAAGTTGGTGCTTACACACATTTTCTACTGTTGAAATGAGCACACATACAAATATACAGCTTGGCTCCTACAACATGTCAGGCAAAGAGGTTCATTAACAACATATCCTTCCCCAGGTTGTAGGGCTTTTCAGTGCCTTTGTTTTGAAGATAGTATTACCAACAAAATTGCCTGTTTTTCCAAAGCTTACTTTGCTTATAAAGAGCTTTATGAGATTCTTTGGGCTCAGATGAGGGGTGGGCAGGAGAAATTACCTTCACATTAGTAGAGGTGAGGAAGTTAAGTATTTACGAAATTATTTCCCTAAGAGTTTGAGAGTAAGATGCTGGTCCGGACTTGGGTTCATGGTCATCACAGTAACGACAGAGCATATTCACAGTGGGCCCCTGAGGCTGGATACACCTTCCTTGCTTAGATCTTCCCACAAACTTGCAAATAAAGTCTTTGTATTTGAACCAGCCAGTCAGTCTCTGCAAACAGTCAGCTATCAAGCGACAACCAGGCCCTTGGTAGGTCCAGCTAGAAGCCCAGACTCTTTATGGTCATGAAATTTCTACGTGCTATACCACAATCAGTCCCTGCCATACCACAATCAGTCAAATGAGAGGGTACATCTTTCTGTGCTTTAGGGTTATAAAAAAAGTCATTTGAGAAGGCAGAATACGGCACTTTCAGATAAGAAAATGCCTAATCAAGAGTATAATCAGCCTATTCATTTTTTCATCCTGTTCCCACTGCTAGTGATGGGGTTCAACACTTCTTGTTGTTTTGTCTTACTAAAGACAGAGGGAACATCCAGAGAGAACGAAGCATAGACAGCACCTTGGGGATTTGTCTAGGAAGAAGCTAATCTAATGAGTACTGACAGAAAGGATAGTACTTATGGCTCCTTTCTGTGGGTGTTTATAACATTCCATGTGCTATGCTAAACATTGTATACTAGCTCATTTAAGTTTCCCATCCCCTGTGTGAGACCAGCATTAACAACCCCATTTCAAGGCCATGGAAATGGAAGATTAGAGTCTTGTTCCTGCCTGGAGTTGCCACACAGATATGTGGCCCAAAAGACACAACCCGGCATGAGGCGGTAGACACGTGGAGACCTAATCTGAAGGCTGTGATGCTTCTTACAGCCTCTTAGTACTGTTTTAGAGCAGATAAAAGACAAGAGTCCTAGAATTAAGGCTTCTGAAGGGCTAGACTCATTAGGGATTCTTCAGCTGGAATGATTCAGACCCATGGTTCTCAGGCTTCCACATGTGCCCATGACTGCATTTCAGACAAGTTCCTAGGCAAAAACTAACTCATTGGTGAGGCCCAGAGAGAAGTGAAAGACTGGACTTCTTGCTCAACAAGCAGGGGCAGGATACCATTAGAGAAGACATTGAGAGAAAATCCTGTCTTTGTTTTTGTTAGTCATGGTACTTTAAATTTACTATTCACTATTCTAAATCTAAAACAATTAATGTAACAAATTATCAACAATAATTTTATCATTTAGCATAGATTGTGCAATGTTAATTTTGAAGAGTATTTAACTTCTTTGAGGCAGGTCACTGAAATTACACAACTCATTTCTCATAGCTTGTACATAGTCAGAGACACCTATGATGTGTTAGTTGGCAGTAGGCTGCACATTTAATGTCTGAACCATAAAATTGTGATGAAGCTAAAATTTTCCTATCTGTGACATCATAACCATCATTATGTCACCATCACATTATCACGCGCATGTGTTTATGCTCTTATAAATCAACTTTTGATATTTCTGGTTCTATAAAAGCACAGCATGCATAATTATACTCTGTACACAATACTGGATAATGCCAGTAGGTGGTTATATAAGTTTAACATATTTACTGCATTTTCACCATTATTTTAGCATGTACTCAGCTTTATACATATAAAAACAAATTCATTGTAAAACATCACACTGTCTTATGCCTTTGGCAGTTCTCTGCTTATATTTAATCTCTTTCTTGGCTGCACCAAGAACCGTCTCTAAGGATTGACACTGTCTTATGCCTTTCCATCTCTAAGGATTGATCTTTGGTATGTTGGCACAAAACTATGTGGTGATGTCGAATAGACACAATCATCTAGTGATATGCCTCTCAGAATATATCCCTTTCTTTAAGCAATATATGGTTGTGTGTATGTACTCTATTATTATCTGAAAGACTGGAGTTGATGCACAAAAAATAATCAACAGCTATTTCACTTCTTGTGCACATATTCTAACAAATTTCTCTACCATTGACTTACTGATGAGTTAAGAGTTCCTGAAAGGACAACAACTATGACTTGCCCTATATTCACTATCCTTTTTATTGAGTGCAAGGAGATGGCTAATGCACAAATAAGAAAGGAAATGATCATCTTTCTTGGTTTCTATTCCTCAGAATGCCCCAGCCATCTTTCTGCATTCAAAGTAAACTTTTGTGCAAATGCAAACTGTGGCCTTTTCTCCGCTATTGGCACTCTCATCAGCTTCCCCCTCCTTCCGAGTTTACTCACCTCTGCTTCTTGAATCTCACTGAACTTCCACAGGCAGGCCCACTGGAGGTCTATGCTCACTTCAAATGGCACAGCAGTGCTGTAGATACATATTGTCCTGACCCGGGATGTCTCAGCCTTAACCCATGAAGTTCGGCCTGAGTGGGGGTGTGTGGACCTGGAAACTCCTAGCAACCCAACGACAATAAAGACCAAACACAGGCATCTAATCATGTTTAGAGAGCTCTCAGTTCCATGCTGTAAAACTAGAGTCTTTTCTTTATTTACCATCTTTTCGACTGTTTCTTAACCATCCTTCCATGGCCGCCAAGAGATCACTCCTTTCCCTCTCTATCCTCTCTGGTAGCTCGCCCCTAACTCCTGTCTTCACTTGTTACTTACACACACCTAACCCCTCATTCAATTGCAAATCAGTTAGCATCCATTCAATACAGACTGGAGGGAGCGCCTGGTTCCTGGAACCCCTGGAAATCGCTCCCAACAGCATATGCTCACATTCTTGATTACTTTCGGTTCATCAATTTCCCAGCAACCCTTTGATATTACTTACAGAGATCAATTGTTAAGAATTTCAGTAGTGCAAAAACATTTCAAGTATGAGTTTCTTCTGGATGTGAGGGTCCTGTAGCCATGCAAGAAAGGTATGATAGCCTGGGGTCTATGCCTTTGGTTCAGATCATTTCCATAATTTTCCAGTTCGCTTTGAATGTATAGACTCAAGAATAAGCAGAAATTTGCTTCAGATCCCAACAACAAAGGCTTTCAAAGATTTTCCAAAAGACTCAGATTGCTTCCCAAACAAATGACTCCCACATAATAACATTTTAATGAGTTAAAGGGCAAGAAAATAAGAAACATCCAAATTGAATTTGTTCAAAAATACATATGGTTTTCCAAAAGTAATGGCTCGAGGCAAAATCTGAATCATCTTTTACCGAATCCAGAAGTTTGGGAAAATTCTGCAAGACTTAGCTGCATTCAAGACGCCTGAAGCGTTCTCTATTTCTAGAATTTCACTTTGGCGGGTTAGCTCCTGGCCTGAGCTTGTTCCTCTCCAGGGTGTAGGGTTTCAATAGCACAGATGAGAGGCCATTTGCAGAGTTCAGAGTTTTTATTTCTTGTTAATTTTCACTTATGTTTTTAGGTTAATATAATTAGTTTAGGCTATTTCTGTCTTTTTATCAAAAAAGAATCTCTCTCTCTTCCTTACTCTACACGTGCCTTTTCTTCTTTCATAGGATCTAAGGGTAAAACTTACAAAGACCAAGGCAATTTCCCTAGTTTAGCCTTCACCTCAATTCTCCTAGGAGCTAGCAAATGTGCACATTTGTAGCAGATGTTCAGGGCTGGCTTATATTGGAGGAAGGAGCTCACAGGTGAAACCTGTTCTGCAGAGATGCAAAGCATTGCCATGATGTTTGTAACTAACACATGGATCTTCAGGTACACCGCACATGTTCATATCCTGTTACTTGGTCCATCTGAGGACTGGTGTGATCCAGTCTGGACTTCCATTTACTTTAGCTCCTGGGTGTGAAACATTAGCAAATTTACGCTTGCTTCAGTTGTTTCCTTTCCTCTGGGAACCTATATTTCCCCTTCTTTGTCTGTCTCTGGTTTTGTTTGATTCTTCTTATATGCTTCAAACAAACTAGCACGTAGAGCAAAGTGCATTCTTACTCCTATGTTAGGTTCACAGTTCAACTTGCTTTTTGGTTCTCATTTGGAGATCTGAGCCTGGGGAAGGAAACAGTGGCACAGACTGCACATAATGCCCAGGAAGGTATCTCCCTGCTCAAAGAGCTCCCACCCAGCAGATGATCCTGCTTCTCGAAGCATGAAAAAAAAGAAGATAGCCAAATTTCTGCCTCTAAATCACAATGCCTTCCTACCCCTTACAGACTCTAGCACCTAAGCAGAAACAAGTGTCTGCTATGAAGCCACATCCCTGTAACATCTCCAGGTCTCAGCAAGCTCTGTCACCACAGCTGGGGCCACTTTTGAAGCTGTCCCTGTGATGCACTGAAGCTCTGGCAGAAGGCCTCTTTAGGAAGGTAGCGCTCTTAGAAGACTGCCAGCTTTCAGCCTGTGCTAATCATGATGGTTCAGACCAATCATTCCTAAAAGTGTGGAGTGCAGCCATCTGTTTTCTGTTTTCCTTTCCAAACTTAGCAGCATGGGAGAACCCAGGTCCTCTTGGTCAGGACCATAGAGCTGGCCCTCCTACTCACCAGTGTTAGCCTGTTTGTGGTCTCCCCAGTGGTAGGCAGCTATTTCCATGACCTAGAAAAGACCAGGTCCCACATTCTTGATGAAAAGAAAGCCTAAGTGCTATGTTTTTAAAATCTCAGTTTAAGGATAAGGGAACAGCAAAGGTCACATGACAAGTTAAATACTAACACTTTGTAGTAATTAAGCTCATTTTAAAATTGCTTAATGGCTTCTAAAGAGGCTTTTTTCTCCTTTAAAATGGGTTTACTATTCTGCATTCATTGTAGAGAATTAAGCAAGCCAATGGAAGACACTAGAGATATTTCTGTTTCACTTGGACTGAATTAGCTTAAGCTGTGGGCATTAGTTTCTGAATATGCAAGAGTTAACTTAGCCAGTAACAGACATCCCTGGTTCCAATCTGTATGCATGCAGTTTCGGATTGTCAACAAGTTGACATTTATCTGCACAAAACATTTCCATTTGTATTACACATAGCGTTACATTATTATTCTTTCCAATATCACTGTTTGGGAACAGGTTAATGCCTTGCCACAAAGGGTCTTCCAGACAGCTATAGATGAAAGCCTGGGCTTAAGAGAAGCCTAGATTACAACATATGCAGAAAACCCTAGTAAGGGCAGGTATGGCTGTTCAGTATGAAGATGAAGCTTTCAAATGAAGGTATTATATGATTAAGCTAGTTGGTAAAAGTTCAGCTCATTTAATTATACATGGACACACAGTATGGATATTTCAACATTCTATGTGTGACTCAGGTCTATGAGAAACCAACTTTTCAAGCTTTGGGGATTCTTGAAAAATAACTACGGCATGTCTGTATTACTCATGTGCTGTTTACTGACTTCCAACACAATGAAATGTCTTCATCTCTCCTCTCAATTTGAACTCCATCCGTCTACGATCCCCACCTGGACTCATTGCAGAGATACTAAGTCATTCTCCTAGCTAACATTTGTATACACAAATGGTGGCAGCTGAATTTCATGTGGGTCTGTGATAATGGATCCCCAATTTAGACCATGGGTAACTGGAGACAGGATATGCCTAATGGGGCCCTCAGCTATGGAATCCCAGCATGTCTTGGTCTATCAAAGCTCCACTTGCCAATCTTCTGGGCTTGGTGCCAAGCCTGTATTTTTAGACTAATAAGAGTAGCATTCTGGAGCTGGAGCTTTCGGAGTGATATTTTATTAAAGAATTATTTCTCCCAGAGCTAGATGTTTTCAATCATTTAAATTAATGTATTTTATCACCTTACACTAATTATTTATTTAATGGGTTTCTTCAATTTTTAAAATTATGCCTAATGCAATATGCTTCTGAACAGGAGTACAGAAAATGAACACATTAATTACAGTAAAACGTCTAAAAACTGAAACAAATTAAATAGACTGCAGCATATGCTACCCAAACATTGATCATGCATCTGTATATGTAACACTCTCTTTTCTGTGCAAAATGCAACTCTATGTCCTCTAGTGTCTGCCTGCTGGGAGGAACTCTGTGAAAACAAGTAAGAGAATGCCGGGGTCCTGTTAGGCAACTCCCTTTATCTTGGTGTCCTTGTGTCCCTGTGTCTGCACTCCGAGGTGCTTATACCTCAGCTCTCAGAAGGTTTTTAGTTTCATGCCACATATGAGATGCACATTAATTATAGGTTGGAAAAGGGACTGGAATGCTGTGAGAGCACATTCCATTTCAACAGAAAGGATTGGGGCACTTGGTGTCTGTGTTTACCCTGGTGCATGCTCTTACTGCTGAATACACATTTCTTCCTGCTGGGATATTTTCCTTTATGCTTGCCATTCCATTTAATTTATACCATTCTAAGTTGTTTTATAACACGTGTAAAAGCAATAATAATACATGGAAAGAAAGGCATTTTCAAATATTTTCAAGTATGTGCATAACATGTGATAACCCAAATTGTAATCTAGCTTAGTAATGCTGATGCTAGAATGAACCATCTTGACAAAGGATCCTATCAGTCAGGTGACTTGTCTAGGAAGTCCGGCTTTGAATAAAAAAGATAACCATTGCCCTCTTTGACTTCTCTCCTTCACTTTCCAATTTTCATTTAATATTGTGCAGAGGTCTCTGTGATTTCACATTTGATTTTAAATATCTTTAAAACCAAATAAGTTCCCTTTTGAAATAGTAGGATTATAAATGTTACTTAAGACTGTCTTAGCACATGAGCAATACTGAAACATTTAACATTATTTCAAGTCTTTTAAAAATGTACCTCAGGGACTGCAAATGGCCCAGTGGTGAAGAGCACTTGTGGCTTTTGTATAAAAACTAAGTTTGGACGTCAGGGAAATCATCCACCATCATCAAGTAGGCTTCATCCCAGGGATGCAAGGATGGTTCACCATATGAAAATCCATCAATGTAATCCACCATATAAACAGCCTGCGGGGGGGGGGACCACATGATCATCTCACTAGATGCCAAAAAAGCCTTTGACAAAATCCAACATCCCTTCATGATAAAAGTCTTGGAGAAATCAGGGATAACAGGAACATTCCTTAACATAATAAAAGCAGTATACAGCAAACCGATAGCCAACATCAAATTAAATGGAGAGAAACTGAATGCATTTCCTCTAAAATTAGGGACAAGACAAGGCTGTCCACTCTCTACATACCTCTTCAATATTGTCCTTGAAGTTCTAGCTAGAGCAATAAGACAACAAAAGGAGATTGAGGGAATATAAATTGGAAAGGAAGAAGTCAAACTTTCAATATTTGCAGATGATCTGATACTCTATATAAGTGACCTGAAAAAATCTACTCAGCAAAGTGGCAGGATACAAGATTAACTCAAAAAAATCTGTAGCCCTACTATATACGGATGACACATTTGTGGAGAAAGAAATCAGAGAAACATCACCCTTTACAATTGACACAAACAACATAAAATACCTTGGGGTAACACTAACTAAAAAAGTGAAAGAGTCTCTAAAGAAAGAAATTAAAGAAGATACCAGAAAATGGAAAGATCTCCCATGTTCTTGGATAGGTAGGATCAACATAATAAAAATGGCAATCTTGCCAAAAGCAATCTACAGATTCAATGCAATCCCCATCAAAATCCCAACACAATTCTTTACAGACCTTGAAAGAACAATTGTCAACTTTATATAGATAAACAAAAGACCCAGAATAGCCAAAACAACCCTGTACAATAAAGGATCTTCTGGAGGCATCACCATCCCTCACTTCAAGCTCTATTACAGAGCTTATAGTCCTGAAAAGAGCTTGATATTGGCACAGAAATAGACAGGTAGACCAATGGAATAGAGTTGAAAACCCTGATATTAACCCACACATTGACAAAAAAACTGATTTTTGACAAACAATCTAAATTTATATGATGGAATAAAGAGAAAATCTTCAACAAATGGTGCTGGCATAACTGGATGCTAGCATGTAGAAGACTGCAGATAGATCCAAGTCTATCGCCATGCACAAAA